CTATTATCACATAAACAATGTTAATTAGATGTCGCTTATTGGTTGTGATATTAGACAATGTGCCTATTGCGAATCGGACTGGATTTCGCTACGGGCCAAGAACAAACCGTATTGTTTATTTAAGATGCTCAATCTTGTAAGGCGATTTGCTTAATTATTTTTAAAAGGAACCACAGGATAATAATTATACACATCCGTGATAGCTCCAAGATAAACCCATTGTAACTAATAAAGGACGCAAACTCCAAGATAACCCCATTTTATTAAATTGTACAAGATTGTCTCATAAACTCGAAAAAACTTTGCCCAGATGCACAGTGTAAACATAAATACAAGTAAAAATATAAATATGATATAATGTTAAAATGCGAATGTACATTAATAGTTCAAATATACAAAATCTACAATATAATGAACAATGAAAGAAGCTATATCGATATATGGCAGGTATTGTCCAGGGGCGAGGAGATTGTTCCTGATTGTTTGTGTTCGATTTTCCTAAATAAGTTTGTTCATATATACAACTATCTTCAGCTCCGTCCCCACCATCCCTCAAACATAGTGGTTTTTGCTATAGAACTTCGAGCCGTTCTCTTCAGAAAACTTCCCATGCTTCCTACTCCATCAACCACTCCACCCATCATAGTAGTCATTGAGGAAACTGAGGCCATAGACACTGGTCGAGCTAACACCGGACGCTGACTATCAATCATTGCTTCATATTTGCTAGTCTCGCGTGGAGTTTGTGACAGTGATGAATAATGTGGATCGTCGAATGTCGCGCGGGCTTGGCGAAGTTCTTCGAGAATCTTTTAAAGGCAAGTTGGGAAGGCAATTAAGTATAAACTACAACAAACATCAAGAACTTATAGAATTACCTTTTCGTAGAATTCGATTTGCCCATCCAGATACTGTTTCGTATTTTCTTTGAAATCCCAAACACGTTCGTCATGAATACGGTCAATTTCTGCAAGAGTGACATTAAATACTGTATCACATCGAGAACTGATAGTTTCCAAGTCCACGTTCTGGCAAATTAATTGTGATGAAGAAAAATCAATGCTTGAACTTTTAGATGCAAATAGGTCTATACCTTATTTCGCTTACCTCGTCTTCGGCCATTGGATCACTAGCATCTGCTATGTCCTTATATCTTTTGTATGTGCCCATATGCATGTCAATTATTGGCTAATGGTGAGCAAAAAATTAGCAAACTTGAGATCGAATATTCATGCATTTTAGGAGAGTAAACATACCAGACACGTGCTCATTGGATTACTATAATCTCTGAGATTCTCACACAATGGAACACAATTGTCATTAATCTGGGAGAATAAAGAAGAACACTTTAGTACTAGTTTTGAATAATAAAACTATCTTGCGGTAATCTGCGATACTAACATAAGACTCGTACAGATCAGCCACTGACTGCAAGCTCTCACTAACTGACTGCACTGCTTTAGTAAGATTCAGACACGCTAGATAAAAAACGGTGTATATAGTCGATCAAATATAAATGTTTGTGGTAAGTGTTTATGATTCATTAATAACGATTCGTTTCAATATTAAATATTTGCTTGGAAAATTTACCTTGACAACCATCCCTCCAACACCAGGCACCGTCTTCGTTGTTGCCTGCAAATCCGTCTCCAACATTGTGTCCAGTAATTAAACGTAATAGTGAATAACTGACTCTACGATACTGTCGTTGACACTCTGTCATGGAATCTTTGTGTGCCTGAGAAGCCTCATTAACCCAAGGCATTAATTTCTCCATTGACCGAGCGAATGCTTCGAATTTTTCAACAGTTTCCAGATCTCCATCATCAACATTGAATTCGGGATGGTAGACGTGTTGGAAGAACTTGTACCCAAGTATCTTGTCCTGTTCAAATTCTTTCTCTCGTCTGCGCCATTCCTGTTTGTAAAATAATTGTTAATAAATTTTGCGGTACAATGCATTGAAAAAGTATTCAACTTAAAGAGAACATACGGAATCACTCTGACAGCTTAAGAAGTGAGTTAATAAATCCGAGTATCGGATGACTGGATGACGTGCCAAGCGGTTAATAAATCTTTCGAGAGCTCGACGACGCCTCTGGATAAAGTCATCATTGAACCGACCTACAGCAAGGTAATATAATTTAATAATCATTCATTGTTGAATATCTAAGAATCGTAAAGAACCATACCAGCAAATTGTTTCTCGGGAAGAGGAGGCAAGACCAATGCCCCAAATTTAGCACACAGCATATTGTAAAGCCATTCAAATTGACTAAATCTTCTCTCTACACTGACTTGAATACCTCCAGGAAACTATATATTTTTTTGTCCAAAATCATTAGTCTTCTTGATGGAAGCGAATATAAAATAATTATATACATACCAACGAAGTCACGTGAAATATGGTATATTCTGACATGCCCCCAAGTTTTACTCTTCTCTCGGGGCTATGCACAAGAACTTTAAAAATAGGAGCTTTTTCCAGCCAACTTGGTCCACTCTGAAAAAGAGTATTTTCATACCTGAGTGTTCTCTGACAATCAAACAAACGAATTTCGAATTCGAATTATTTATCGGACAATACCTGAACATAATGCTTATCAGATTCGGAAACTTCTTCGATTTCTTCATCATTGGATGTCTTTGCTTGAGGTATTTCTTGACCATTACCGTCATCCAATAAATACTCCTCGACACCAGTTGTAACAAACCAACTGAATCGATTGAGTTGACGCCTGCCAATAATACTATTATAGCGTATGCTTCCATTCATGTGAACTTGGGATTGAGCATGAGATATGCCACCAACTTGATAACGCATTGCTGCGAGAGTCGACGGAGGAACCTCGTTGAATTCATTAATGTACTAGACATAAAAATGAAGAAATTTATGCTATGAGTCTGAATCATCCTCAACAAAAGTAGTTGGTTGTAAATAACCATATATACCGTAATGTATGAATCGGGAACTAATCCAGTAATCCCGTCTTTTTCAGCCATAGACCATCCTTCAGCCAATTGCTCCCTCAAGACATTCAACACATCTCCGGCGAAAAATGATAACTCCCTAAACTCAGGCTCTCCTTCAAAGTCATACAAAGCCCTCGCCTGTCTTCCAACAGGTACGGAAAATGACACAGTTCCTACAGGAGTGCTCTCGCCGGTACTTGGAGTTTTTGGTGAGGGTGAGGACGGAGGCGACTCGAAAAGTGGTTGTTCTGTAAGTGATCGGGGCGTGGTGATGGGCGAGGTTAATTTACGCGCTCCCATAGAAAGTCGTGCCGGTTTGGGTGGAACTGCTGGCCGTTGCTTAGTAGACATTATAATTGATAAGAACTTTGAACCGTGGAGAGAGAAAGAGAGAGAAGATAATGAAGATGTGTGGAATTAATGACAAGGGGTATTAAAAAGAATGTTGGAAAGTGAACGGGCTCCTTATGCCAATGGCCTAAAGAGGAATGTGATGGTATATCAGAATTGGAAAGATTCAATCAAGAGAGCGTCTATAAATAGCCACCGAAAATAAGTTTGTCGATCCCATCCCCCCTTAAGAATGTGTCATTCTATTAATGCCCCTTTTTGTAACACGCGTTTAGGATAAATGCCCTGACATCATATCACATGACACACCTGGTTAAATAGAACTCGCGTATTACTCACATTCTTCGTATACATCAATCAGCTCATAAAATTTCTTTCTTTTAGTGAAGACAAATCGAACATGGTTATCACGAATGAAAGATATCTATCAGTGTGCACTCCAACACAACGCACAGTACACAACCTTATTTATCACTTCAGCCAATAGGTCGGTATTCAACTTCTTTTATGGAACGTTAACTGTGAGTTTCTGCATTCGACAACCAAATCCATATTGACTTATTAGTCATCGGACATTTTTTTTATAATTTAGAACTTTATTGCCCAACTACAGATAAACTGCTAAAGCTAGTTATTATACTTAATTTACATTAATTATATTCGAATTTTTCATATAATCAATAAATAATGCATATTATTTTTATTATCTTGCAAATATATCAACTTGATAAATCCAATGTACCATCATCGGTTGAAATCCTTTCCACAACTGTCTTCTTCATTCTAAGTAATACCGGTTCGACATGTTTATATGAAACTCGCTGGATTTTAATATCTTCTCTCAATGCAAGAACTGCTGATTCTCGAAATAATAGTTCCAGTTCAGCACCTGTAAAGGCATCGGTTCTAGCAGCCAAATTTTTAATATCCACATCAACGTCTAGTGGAATATGTTTCGAAATTACGCGGATAATAGACTCGCGGTCATCCAACGAGGGCAAGCCTACGTAAAGAAGTTGATCCAATCGTCCTTTCAAGATTGTAACGTGAGTATCTCGACAAGGAATGAGGATTCGGCTATAAAGAAACAAAATTATACACCGTACCTGGTCGAAGTAATGCATCATCAATCTGATCTGGTCGATTAGTACATCCGACAATCAATACGTCCTTTCGTTCTTGAATTCCATCCATTTCATTAAGTAAGGTGCTCAATACACGTTCATTCACTCCGCTTGTTCCATCATTATCCCATTCTACAATGAAACGAACACTAGTTATTACAAGCGATATTACATTTCAAATTCCCGTAAACTTTAATTTACCGCGTTTACTCGCAATAGAATCCATCTCGTCAAAGAAAATCAAGCAAGGCGCAATTTGTTTTGCCGTGGCAAATAACCGTCGAATTGCAGCTTCAGTCTCACCCAGATATTTGGAAAATAATTCTGGCCTGTTAAGATAAACCTATCGATTAGTAAACAAGCAATCCTGAGAGTGACAAAAAAGGTTTTTAATTACCCTTTGATGGTAATCGAATTCGCAGACAATGTCGTCACGGCTGCCTGAACGAGAATTGTCTTTCCGCAACCTAAAAATACGTGAAAACGTGCGCTATTGGTAAAATGTTCATCGAAATTTAAACTTGTTATAGAATTTTACCTGAAGGTCCATGTAACAATAACCCTGCAGGTGGTTTGATGCCAAGTCTTTCATATGTTTCCGGATGTGATAATGGCCAGTCAAGTATTTGATTGATGCGGCGCTTTATTGCTTCGTATCTTAATATAAGGATTATATTATCTGCGTCATAATTTTCGGTATGCCATCCATCCACAATTAAAGCCGACTTGATACCAACCCTCCAATTTCGTCCCATAGTTTAGATGGAATACTAGACTCGAACACAATTTTCTGAGACGGTTTGACAATCTCCAATGCATATTCAAAGTCCTCCCAAACCACCTCTCGCGAATCATTAGTAGAAGATTCAGACATACTCAATTTTGCAAGTAGGTCGGCGATGTCAATATCTTGCTGTTGTTCCTCACATCTTCTTAGCGAGTGCAAGGCGGCCGAACGACACAACCGCATCAAGTCGCGACCAACAAAGCCTGATGTACGCTGTTATATGCTGTAAGTTGAGGTGATGTGGTGTGTAAATTGCCCAAAAATTGGCACTACCTGAGATAATCTTTTAGCAAAGTCATTAACTTGTGTCTGGTCTCCGAATTTTAGCTTTGAAAGATAAATATGCAATATTTCTTCTCGGCTGCGTCTTAAGTAAGCAGGACAATTGATTAATATAATATTCAAATTGAACGAAGCCATCAATCCTTTACCTTGTTGGCGCAGTGATAGTAAGATTACTTTGAAACAGTTCTCCGTTGCGAAACGTGGCTGGTAACTTGTTCAAGTCGTTGGTAACGCCTATGACAAAGACCTAGGTAAATGTCAGATAATCAAGATATGTAATTCCATAATACAGATGTGACACTGATATTTGACTTTCAATACAGAACATATACCTTGGATTCTTCTTCAAGCTCTTGCATTTCGCACGACATCATTTTGATAACAAGAGACTTCCAATCATTTTCTACGTCATGAGATACGTCAAAAATCATTTAGTATTGTCTCTGAAGGATAAAACTTGACTGGCGCGCGCGTTTTTAGCTTTACCATTGCACAGTAAGTCGAATCCTTCGATCACAATAACGCTTGGAGCTGACAAAATAGCTTTAGTAAAAGTCCATTTGATCAAGTTATTTTCTAAAAATTCCGTCTGATCACGGATTTGGCTGACAACCGATGCAAGTGATATTTCAAATAGCTGTGCTTGGATTTTCTGACATACGTTTCTGCTGTAATTAGTTTTCTTATAACCGTACTATGGTTATACAAAGTATAATCAACACTCACTGAATAAGAAGAGATTTTCCTGCGCCTCGAGGGCCGGAAATCATTACGGATCGAGTGATTGGTATGTTGAGTTTACTATGGATATCGAAGTTAGAGAAAGAATCATCTAGTTTCGATAAAAAGGTTTGTAAACGTGTTATATGCTTGCATGACGACGATGACAATAAGACAATTACGCGTGATTACCGATCAGCCGGCGTAGTTCTTCTGTTTCTTTTCCGAGTCCTCTAGTCATTGGGACATTCTCAGTAAAAACTAGTTCAGGAAGTATTTCTATTCGTGTATTTTCTGCATCGTTTCTGACAGCGTCTTCTTTGGTCATCGGCAACCCATCAATTTCTATACGTTCAATTTTGAATATGCAGAGTTCACCACAGATATGCACGGCAAAGACAGCATTCAGTGATAACTAAAATTACGTGATGCTTGTTAAGTAGATGTGAAAGACATATAATAGAGATAGATCATAAAGAACGTACAAAACATTTCCCCAAATTCCTTGCCACCAAATTTTCCCAATCGTTTATACTCTTCGCTCTCGGTAAAGCACGTTTTCGAGCATCAAGAAGTACCTCCGTTGGCGGCAGCCAAACGTTGCCAAATACTTTTCTTACTTGCAAACTATGGGCAACTCTAGCTAGAAATATGCTGGTTCATCAACAACAAAAGGTTAACTTTTTCAAGTTGCAATTACGGAATTGGTTCTCGCGTATTACCTTTTGAATTATCAGCGGCTTTGATTGTAATCTGGTCACCTTTTACGTGAAAATTCTTGTCAATCCAATCAGGCAATACGACAGTGTTTTCGTCGATATCGCAAGATGGAAAACAAATCAAGTGCGCGCATAACTCGTCCTCAGCCATGAGATCAACGCGCACAGATCCACCAGGAGAAAGCCCTATCGATCTAAAGGCATTTCTGGGTAATCGCATGTGTTTGGGTGGCAACTGCGACGAGAACGCTACGTTCATGGTCAAAACTATACATTGATAGGATTGAAACGTATGTAGATCTTATATCTGATAATCAGTTAACTGCGCCTGACGAGGCTAACGAATCCGCACACTACATAGACTATTCTTTTATAAATAACAAAGGGTTTATTGTGTACATTTAGGAAAATCGTAACAAATTCTTTTAGATACAAACATATTCTATTTTATACATTGGATTTAGTCACCCATTTACTGAAAGCACGAGATTTCTCCGTTAGCGTGAACGAGTCTTGCAGCTCGCGAGACAGCACGAAAAAAGTACTACTATCATAACAGTCCGTTAAAATTAATTGCTCTAGCTTGGGAAAATGTATTCTGATATTGCTTAAATACTCTAAATTCTCCGTAGCGTCATTTATGATAACATCCACCAAGGTCAATTTGACCAAACTATTCTTCAAGTTGGATAATTTATCCAAGAATTCAAAAAAGTTACATCCCCATTGTTCAACAGTCAGTTCTACAAGATTCTCTTGTATGTTAATCAGCCGTAGAACTTCTTCATTTTGAGCACTGGAGTATGTAAGACTGAGCTCCCGAATGCCCTTGGGCAGATTGCCTCCTGGTATGAAGCATTTAAACGATAGTGTCTTAAGTACCAAGGAACTCTTCAAAAAGAATCGAAATAACTGCATAGCCACAGCTTCTTTATCGTTTCTTCGGAAACGATCGGACGCTGCGAGTAGTCGACGCAAATCGTCTTCATTTATAACGGTTATGAATTGAGCGTAATTGACAGTCGACCGTTTGGAATTGGCGAATAGATCTCTAGTAAGCATTTCTTCTTCGGGTAGACTTCCTATATAAGCGTCCAACAAAGATATGGATCTACGAAAGATGTGAGCTCTGAAGACGGGGTCCGCTGCCAGAACAATTGAAAAGGGATTTCGCCATAACAGAGGCGTTGCTATGCGAAACCAGAGACGGTTGGTGAGTGTCCATGAACGGAGAGTGCTTGAAGAAGAAGAGCTCGGAGAACCAGCGATAAACAAGAGAATGTTGTAAATAATGTCATCCACAAGCTTTACTGTCATATTTTTGGGTCGGTAGAGTGTTATCTTTGATATTTGATTTTGTTTGATGTTTGCTTGATTAGTTACTTTTAACGTTAAAGTGTTCCGAGTGTGAGATTTTATGCATCCTTGATACTGTTGTACATATAAATACCTTGATCTGCATGATGCAGTGTTCTTTATTTTTTTGAGGCTACACGTGCTATGATATCAGTCAGTGATCATCACACTGTATGACCATAAATGTAGAATTACTGGTGCATCTCGCTGATGGGAAAACAACAAATGAAGCCTGTTCTTTGTTAGTTTGTAAAAGTTTACGAAACTGTTTGCCCGAACTTAAAACAAAGTGTTTTAATTTTGACACAGAACTGATAAAGGAAATCGACATGTGTTTACACACCCTACTATTCTAATAACGTTGTTGATATCACAGATTAAGATGTTTTCACCAATTCCTGAAACGTTCGTTAACCTGCTTGCCGAATTACTATCAATAATAAATATATATAATTAGAAACCCTATTGGCTTGTTTTAGTTTATCCAATTGCAAATTGGTCGATCTAAATAAGACCAAAACAGGCGTTTTATGACACGCGATATAAACAATTGTGTTCCAAAGTAGCAATATCCAAATGGATTGTAACATATCAATTCTCCGGAGAGAATCAAGGCTCCATCAAGCGATGCCCGGAGAAAGATTTCCCGAGCGCCATTTTCATCTCGACCCATTACAGTTCCACAATTCCGGCACTTGTACACCTCGGACCCTCCTATTTTTTGAACAACTGCAAGTTTTGGAAGTATAGGCCTCGTTTTGGATAATAACACGGACCCCTAATTCTTCTGCTTTAGCCACCAGGCGTTGGCGAAATTGATAGTGGCCCCAGCAGAGCATTTTGCGAACCGTTTTTCGTGTTATTCGATTTATCATATTCGACACCTCAAAAGGGAGGGATGATAACGGCATCGAATTCGCGAGTGAAAAATGCGATGAAGTTCGCTTTGCATTTTCGTCGCATCCGAGAGATTGCCTTATCAAGTCGCGAGGCCTGTTTCTTCTTACGTTTCGAACTAGAGGCTGCATTCATTTCCAAAATCAGTACTGTATGTAGTTGTTAAAGTATGGTTGCATTTTTCGAGATACCCGGGATACGTCCATTCGGTTGACTCAAAGTATTGTTGGGCTGTAAAAATAATAAGACCACGTCAAGTCAAAACAAAAAATTAAGCGATTGACATACCAGCATGCTTGTATGATGAATCTAATGACATTGAAATACAAGACGCTTTGAAAAACGCGTTGAGCCTCTCATCCTCTGAACTGTGGAGGAAGCTGTTGAAATAAGTAGATATTCGCACACACGTGTACTCGCATGAATGCTCATCTGTCCTTTTACAGAATTTATTAAAAATTATTACAACTAACAATGCATAAGGAAAGCAGAGAGTATTGGCATTCTTTCAATAATGCTTGACAGGTGATCCATTCAGTTGGCATGAAACAAACTTGTAGGCGAAAAATGGAAATTAAATCACAAATATATTAGCATTTCAAATAATGTGCCAGATGGGTACTCCGCTGGGTAGCAGTTATCCCTGCACATAATGTCCATGAAGATGAAAATTTATCTGGAATGATCATCAAGCATTTGGCTTTCAGTATCAACTTATTCAAGAGTAATCAATTAATTGTCAATCTTTGCACTTTCTTATAGAATTAAAGAATTACATAACACGCTTGGGGACCGATTCATTTCACCTACCGAGAAGGATAACTTCGAAATAATGTTGGGAAGTATTTGTCGGTCGGGGAAATATTGTCGGCGAACTCGTAGTTGGTGTAACTTTATATTTAGGTAATTTCGGGATATATATTAATATACATCTGAGGTGTGATATAACGGAACATTTGTTCTTATAAGGCCGTTTGTTTTTATAAAATTGGGGATATAATAATAACCAGAGGTAGATAACTGGATGTGACTGTACTTTACGATACTACGTGTTTATTTCTACATGATTGTGATCATACTGTCAATTGACGATTTTCAATGAAGAAGTTTATTGATGATTTAACAACAGTTATCTGTTGCCGTAGCTTGAAAATATTATTGTTATTCGAAACTGTGGAAAGCTCTACGATATGAATGATTTCAAGAAGATTACTGTTTCATCTCCGGAATGGCACTATCTCAAAATTCAGCTGTATCGTATTGCTGTGCTATCCAGTTTTAACTTTATTATGTGTTGTATTTTTAAATCTTTATACGTTTTCGTTCTCATCACACAGCTCATCCGCAACGCAACCGCTTACAACAATCTCGCTCCTTACCCTCAGAACTCTAATTACAAAGGCGTTACAGACATCGTACGGTTTAATTGGATCAGGGATGTATGTCGACATATTAAAGTGGGATGAGAATAACTTGGTAGGAATTATTAGAACAAACAGACAGGATGTAAGCAGATTATGGAGCGCTCTTACTCTGTATCAGGTTACCATAGAAAGTGGAAATGGTCAAAACTGTGATATGAGGTTCGATATATTGGGAAATTCTGGTTATCTTGTTGGATTGATTTCTGACAGTAGAGACTGGAAAAGAAATATTTTGAATACTTGACCCAATCGATGGTAAAATGAAGGGATATATGCGCTGCAGTTCTTGGATCTTTTAACTAATATTCTTAGTGTATTTAACAATGAGAATTAGAAACATAGGTTTCTCACATGTATTAAACTATTGTTCGAATTAATATGTAGAGATGAGCTGGATCGCAAGATGTAATACATTTTAAGGTAGCCAGTCTTGACAATATAACCTTACACGTACATATCTACTCATTCATTTATTGCGCGTGTGGTTTTAAAAAAAGATCTGGAGAATTGTTAACTATTCAATCAACTCATACTAAGCTAATAAATTGGACATAAACCTTTGGGAGACGAGTTTAAAACCAAATAATGGATGGCATCATGAATTTAAGTAAATGTTTGAAGCATGTTGATTACAGTCTAAGTTATTAAGAAGTTCCTTCTTTCCTTAAATACTACCCAAAAATTCCAACAAATCACATCTTTTAACTAATATATTCGGATATATCTCGCCCTTTTCGTTAATTTCTGTAATGATAACCTCATTGCTATGCTCTAGATATGTCGCAATTTGCTCCAATGGTGTATCCAAATCAAAGTCCTTGTAAGGATTTTTTCTATACTTTTCATATTTTTCTATAATTCCTTCCAGGCTAGAATCAACCCTTAATACGCCTATCACTAGCTTATTCATAACATCCTTGACATCAACCGACCCTACGAACACGCCATCCTCGTTCACTATTGCAACCTTCTGAACGTCTTCCTCCTTAACTGCCCTCACGATGTCTTTAACTTTTCCATTATCACTAACAACAGGCACTTTCCTTGTCACTCCTAAATCCCTCGCCGTCTTCTCCCAATAAATCTTTTTCTTGGACTCCGACTCTTTGTCATCCAAAAAACCGTTTTCTCGCATCCAGGAGTCCGAGAGAAATTTGGTCATGTAGTTGCGAACAGAGTCAGGGAGAATGACGACTACACGTTTAGTTTTGTCAAGTGTCTTAGCGACCTGGATCGCCGCCCACATTGCAGCGCCAGATGAGCCACCACACAGTAGACCTTCAGAGCGAATGAGACGACGCGACATGAGAAAAGAGACTTTATCTGTGGTTTTTATCCATGAATCGACTATATCACGGTCGCAAGTTTGCGGTACAAAGTCGTATCCGATACCTTCGACCTGGTTAAAAATGCATGTTAGTTATCGTAACAGTAAAAGGTCGAAAATAACTACGCAGTCTACTTATGCGAGTCATTTTTTTGGCAATGCAAGTGTCACCAATAAAGGTTCTTATGGCTGACTGAAGCTTACCAGATAAGGCGCAACCTCCTCGCCCTCACAGTTCGCCAAGATACTGCCTACTGGATCAACACCAACAACCTTACACTCAGGACATCTCTCCTTGACCTTCCTCGCAATTCCCGTAATCGTCCCACCTGTACCTGCACCAATTACCAAAACATCTACTTTGCCGTCACACTGTTGTAATATCTCTTCTGCCGTATGATCATAGTGGGCTATAGGATTATATGGATTTGTATACTGATCGAGAATGATCGACTGCGGAATTTTCTTATTGAGTTCCTGCGCGAGGCTTATGTGAGAGTCTGGGGAGTCCCAGGCGGCTTCAGTAGGCGTGCGGTAGATCTGAGCGTTAAGAGCTTTAAGAACGTCCACCTGGAAGGTATTGAAAACAAAAGATTTGCGGCAAGCCGGAAATGTAACATTAAAATTGCAAGCCGGATCAATTTTCTCCTTCTAATACCTTTTCTTGGCTCATTTTCTCCGGCATCGTAATGATGATCTTATATCCCTTCACTGCTGCCGCGAGAGCCAAGCCGATTCCAGTGTTTCCCGAAGTCGGCTCGATGATAGTACAACCAGGCTTGAGCAGCCCGGCTGTTTCAGCTGCTTCGATCATGCGTTTGCCGATTCGGTCTTTGACTGAACCGCCAGCGTTGAAGTATTCACATTTTACCACTGAAGGCGAAAAAAAAAAACAACAAAAAAGCGAAGAATGGGATGTTTTGAGATAATGATGTAATCATATTAGCACATGATGACACAAAGACGACGGTTTAGTGGCACCAACAATAGTATCTTAATTACATTGTAGAGATCCCCCCTCACCCTCCTTAATACATACGAATTTCGCATTGAACGCCTTCTTCCTTTCCGATCTTATTGATTCGAACCAACGGGGTATTACCAATGTGATCTAGTATCGTATCGCATATTTTCGGTGCGGGACGACTTTGAAGGATGAGGTTGTAACAAATTGCTCAACAACGATATAACAAATATTCCCACAAAACTTGATTTTCTGTTCAGGCTTGATTTTTCACCTACTTACTGTTCTTCGTGAATAATCGGTCCAGGAGCAGAAGTAGTTTCCATCCAAGACCATCGTCCGTCATTTTGGGGTCCATTTTTGTTTTCATGTTTTCCAGTCTCCATGGTTGTGATTAAATTCTTGTTAGTTGATGGTCGTTTTTCTGTCAGTGACAGAGTTATTATTATGTGCAGTCTGGGAATTTACGTCTTTTTATACACCCTGGATCAACCACCCATCGATTGGTCATTCAATCAATAATATGCGTTATTTCGAGCTTAATCATTTACGCAAAATTCATGTGTTCAGGAGGCGCCTCGCCGAACAATACGGATCATAATGGAAATAGATTTCTCCGAAAATAGGTTTCTCTAAGCGCAAGATTGCCTTTAGAATGAGCAGATTTAATTGGCTGGATGATAGAACAGGTAACGGAACTGTGTCACAAAAGAGAATGGGCTGATTGTTATTAAGTGCACTGTTTCAACCCAAAACTTGAATCTCTAAAAATCTATCCACCAAATCGATCGATGGTTATATTAATTTCGCCTGGTGCTAGCCCTTATAGCTCACATGTGGTATACAATCTACTCTCCCTAAATCACGCCTTGGGATTTAGAGAGTATATAGAGATCGTGCATTTATGGAATACTATTAAGAATTCACGTGACTAATAAATAGTACCTATTATATATTTATTAGCGCATTCCTGATCTATATTTGTTAATATGCTTGTACTACTTCCAAACTCATCTGCGTTGTGCCACATTCAACGATGGCCTGACTTTATGGCCTCTGGTTACAATTCGTACCGAGTTTGGTAATTTTTTTTAATTAATGTCACGTGTGTGCATTTACAGAATTATTTTTCATGTAGCGAAATCTATTGCACGTGCAGAATATGGAGAGTGTGTTGGGAATACGAATTTAGGGAGAGTGCATTTAGAGAGAGTAGACTGTATATGGTGCATTAATATGAATCACCGAACCTCGATCGGCATTAATTGATCGTCTGAAACAAGTGCACATTGACAACAATGCTTGTGAAAGTCGAGATTAGAATGTCCCTTTTGAAATAAATAGTTGGGATTTATAGTGTCGGATATAAAAACGCTAATCTTCGCGCGCCAGGAACTGAATGCAATCTGGCTCATATTTTGACGACCCAGAACTATGTTGCGTCCAATCACAGGCCAGGAGAGCTCATTCCGAGTCTATTATAAAAATTAATTGCGCGCGCCATTTACAAGAACGGCCGACCGTATAATAGAATGGGGAATATATAGTTAGCAAAGGAATATCTTGTCCCATATTTATGAACGCTAAGAGATTGTAGAAACCATTTCCACGTGCATTCTCCGTCTTTCCATAAGCTTAATCATTCTATTATTAAATACGCGATGTAAAAAACAACGGCTTAGAGTATATCCTTATTACAAAACGTCACAATAGCAGTTTATCCTGTGAACTCAAGAAAATAGGGTGTAATATTATACGTGAAATGCGCTATTCTCGAGAACCAATAACTTCCATATAAATGTCGAGTTCGCATTAAAGAAAAGCACACGAGTGGAATTGTTATTATTGAAGTAGATACTACTTATTATGTGTTCAGACGAATAAAAACAGGACTTCGGCCCCTGAGTCATAGAAGTGTGGCACGGAAAGGCCGCGCGGATTGCAATGTGGAATTGTCGGGAAGATAAATCTTTTGACTTAAAATTTAGGACGGGGTGTTGTACATGGTATTTAGTGCTACGGTCCGTTGAGACTGTTTTTTTCATGTGGGATAAATGGCAAGGTGGACAACAAAATGAACCAAATAATCGCTACGTGGATTGCTGAGAATAATGACAATCAACAAATATGTAAATTTCATCGACAAAAGACGCTGATGAGAAAGATAGGTTATTATCTTATGTATAACGTTGCCCGAATCACGCCACGCGTGTATCGTATGATTCATGACTCTATATCATTCCACCTACCCTATTAGGTGCTCCATCCTCAAGGCCGTTAACTCGAACTCGTGACCAACGGAACTTAATCTCTTGGGTGGACTTTTAATCCACGGAATACAGTCACAGGGGGGGGGGGGTTATAGAATTTGATAATGTGCTATAATGGAGTCGATAAGCAAGAAGATTTATAGTCATTACAATCATACTTTATTAAAGTGAAAGCATTTTTCGACTATATAACTACATTCTGAATTGTATGTACTGTACGTTGTATATAATACGTGTCCATTATGTGTCTCCATTCTTTAAATCTACTATAGGTACACACATTGTCAAATGCTAGATTAGCAAAAAGAAATGAAAATCGGGGCTCAAGGAATAAAATGATTGCTAAAATAGACGGAAATAGAAATTTTTTTGCAACAAACCCGTTTTAATTATTATGGAACGACGATTTCAATTTTGCAATCCTGAATTGCATCGATTATTTATAATATGATTTTCGCCAATCTACCCTATTATTATAAGGAGTGAGATTATCAACATCGTACAGGACGCGTGATGTAAACCAACGTCTATTAGTATTAGTATTAGTTATAAACAATTACGGTTTAACGAATTCTATACTTTCGCCCCAAACATATGATTATTTGAACTTTATATCAACGTCTATTATATTGTTGGCGTAAGTTGAAAATAAACCAGCCCACATTGAGCAAACACATCTCTTTGACTACTTTTGCGCTTAACCTCTATAAAGATATTACGGCGTTATGTGACCTGGCCATTTCCTCAGCCACGTAGATGTATTATTCGTAACACGAATGGGCATCTCCATGGTTATTAGTCTCTAATTTATTCATTAAACGCACCAAATAGTGTGAAATTAGCTACCATCTGTGTAACAAATACATGAAGAATTTACTGGAAATGTTTGCAATAATCCAATCAGCTATTGCATGTAGTTTGTCGACGAAATTGAAAATTTCAACACGTTTTACTTGAGCCAGTCCATTCTCATTAGTCGTTCTTAAAGAAACGATTGAACACAATTGGAGAAAAAAAAAGCATCCCAACATCCTCCTGCTATGCTTGCCATAAAACCTTGTGTCGTTATTAATTGGACGACAAAAAAGGAAAAATGAATACCTTTACCAACAATAACAAAAAAGTGTCCTCAAAAACAGACTAGCATTGAATCTTTAATCTACAAATAGACAGATAACATAAAGATATCTCTACTTCTATTTCGAATTAGTTTAATCTTCATCAACTCGTGTGTTTGCCCTTTCTTCACGCAGCGACTTCATTGCTGCTCTCACCTTCGACGTCTTCATCGATCCAATTCCTCTCGTCATCAGTCTCAGACGGTACTGAATCTTCCGATACACACTTTGGGCACATGCACCTAAACTTCCACTTAGCTTCCAGCTCACTTCTTCTGCTGTTCATATCCCTGTCGCCAACAGGAATATAGCTTACTCTCAATTGATCCCCTGCTTTAATCGGAGATATTGCCACTAAAGAAAGTTTATGGTTGCCCTTGGGGAAAGTGATTTCAGTATTAGGTTCACATGAATGTGTGAGATAAGATGCTACGCGATAAAAACCGGCACCGGTTGCTGGTGTTATATCCCCCCGCATCGTCTCTCCTGCATTCTGTTCGAGTGGTGGATAAGTGGACAGGTTTGAAGAAGGAACAAATAAAAAGTAAGATAAGCAAATTGAACATAATAAATGGAGAAATATTACTAGTAATTTCAAACGTAACTTTACTAGAATCATTACCTCTTTAATGAGATGCGAATCTTCTGACTTATGCGTCCTTATCCCGTATGCATTATACATCAATTTGCCCTTTAACATCAGATATCGTTCTTCCGAAATAAACTCCTGGATACCAGGCACCTTGCTCGCTAACAGCTCCCTCAACAATTCAATCTCACCCTTTTCTGCTGGTGTCGGCTTAATCTCTAAATACCTTAACCTCTCGATATGATCAAACGTGCCGTATTCTTCTTCCACTCCTTTTGCTACTTTTTCCGTTTCTTCATATATCATTCTTGCCAAGAATCGCGCAATCATTAAAGGATATTTCGCGTTTGAGGACTTTATAAGAGAGATTAAGCGTGACGCGGTTTCGTGTGAGAATGAAGGGGAGGACGGGGCATTGTGACCTGGCGCGATATCATGTGCAGTTGAGGAAGACGCGTTACTTGTGGAGAATAGAATGTTAGAGTATTCGTCAAAGGCTTTAGTGCGGCATGCCACGGAACAATATATAGGGCCAAAAAGATCGTTAGAATCGGAGACAGTGTTGGAACACTCGGTGAGACAGTAACTACAGAATGTAGTGCCCTGTGATAAGATTGTGATATCAGATCATGTGGGAAAGTCAAAGAAAATTTAAGGAAGAAAAGAGCGTGAATCAATTTCATAGTTACCTCAAGGCTTGGCTCGAGTGCACATACAATCGGTGTTTCAATGAAAATGACATCTCCAGGATTAAAATCATTTGTAGCAAAGACGCCACGAATTAAGTGCTTCTCTTTGTTATTTTTGGTTTTACTTGGCTCAGTGATCGGCAAAATCTTTATCTTCATTTCTTGAGGTGGGAAGCTTTCCCAGTATTCTTCTTGCTTTTTCTTCACCTTTAATGTTAACGAATTTCATAGTAATTACCGCAATTAACTTCATAGCATCAAAGTTTGAGAAAAGAGAAGAGAGCAAATTGGCTAATAATCGTTGTATTTTGATAACGGGTCGTTTATACGTAGATTTCTCGTTAGTGTACCTCTGCACTCATCAATTTATAGACCAATTCAAATACAGCTTCCGGGACGGTTTTCTGATAAAACACAATCAGTTCAAGCGGCGATGGATAGACTTTTAAGGCTTTGTACAGGTGAATCGCCGCTTCTTCGTAACCACTTTTATCTATGTCGCGGATGTAAGGAAACTCGTAAAAATAAATGACGTGTCTTGTGACCTTTCTCCCTCATAAACTCTTTGAATCGCCAGACATGGTGCCAAACTAAAAGATCCAGCTTTCTACCTGCATCAAATAATTCCTGTCCCTTTGCAACTTGATCCAGGAAATACTTTTCCTTGTCCTCAATTGAGGTCGGAAACTTTTCTTTGCTGGTTTCCTCAAGCGCTCTCTTAACAAAAGCAGCAATTTCCGATTTGGCACGTTTCTCTCTCTCTTTACGTTCTTTTTCTGCTTTACGATTGTTTTTTTCTGTGGCAGGATTATGTGAATATTAATGAGCTTTTGCCAGATTTGTGTGTGTTTTTTTGCACGTCCAAATATTGGAAATTTGTGTAGGCGCGCAGAGGAATATTATTATAATTTCAACGACCAAATGCGGTGTCCGTTCACTCGTCAGGCGACACCCACCTCACAAGAATGCTTCGTGAAGTCTTAGCCGTAAACAGGTGCCTATATTCCAAGTTACTTACTGATTTGCCTCCTGAACGTAGGATCATTTCTTCGCTTGTGATCGAAGTGGAAGGCATAGGCTATGGCAGCAACCCCGACAACGCCGAGCGTAATCCACGCGGCTCTTTTGATTTCCATGACAGTCGGTTGTTGCAGTTAAAAAGAAAATTTACAGTCGGATCGGAGCGAAAAAATTGTGGCCAACATCACGTGACATGATATGTTTATACTACTAGTTTGAGGTACACAATGGCGAATAAGTGAACGGGGAGAAGTGAGAGAAGAACTAGCAGCTGTTAACGACGTGGCGAACACCCGAGTAAATTGTCATGAGCTGCTATCTTTTATTATCATCCCTGAATAAGCATTTATGCACGATGTATCAATAGCATTCACTTTCGTTGTAATGTTACACGAACCCCAATATCTGATTATTACAAACTTCGATAAATTGAGTTAGGCTTTCTTAAACTAGTGTTGTAAAGTTGAAAGATAAACACATGAGAAAATTGTCGAGTATGCTTATGTACAAAAAAAAAAAGGCTTCGTGTGCAGATTGGACGTCTATGGGAAATCGTGAGTTTTGAACGGCATTCTCATAAAAGTTTGAGCCTGCACCTACAAGGCGTCTTGACCGAAATATCCGAGGGTTCTACATCAGATTTGTTGCGTTAAAATACATACCAAGTTTAATTATCGACCTATTCGAACAATCAAGTTAAACTTCTTTCTTTGCACAGTTCGCGCATTCTAATCATTGCTTTGAATAAAATTGCAAAAAAGGCGTAGCAAAAATGAAGAGCGTAGTGGCAATGGCATTTCTAGTTAAATGGAAAAGAATATTGCCTACTCCCCAGAATGGGCACACTACAAAACATTTGTAATTTTATCTGAAAAGCTTGCCCAAGGCTATTAAACTTAAATTTAATAACATGGCTTATAATCGATTTGCTTTATTTCAGTATTTTTATAAACCGTCTACTAAATAAAATAGTCCGAAAAATTCTGCTATGGAAACACGAAATGCGTCGTGCACTCGATCGTAGACGAAATTTCTATGTAAACTTTATACCATCTAGACCAAATTATATTTTGAAGACATTGTGATAAGTCAAGGCTCGACGTATCCTGCACACATATATTATCCCCTCATCTCATTAATGCTGGGAAGACTGGAAATCGGACATTGGAAATCCATCCCATACCCAATGTTAGTAGCCAATATGTGAAGTAAATTTTTACTAACACAGTCAATCATGGTGCAGTAAGTAAATTTGTTCACAATATTAAATATCTCTGTGCATGCACTTGTAACTTTCACTTGACAGTGTATAACTATTGAGCAAGAAATAAATGTTTACATTAATGGTAAAAATTTATAGTTATGATGCAGTTATGGTAAAAATTTATAGTTATGATGCAGTTCAATGAACCGAATTTCAATGTCCTTTATTCTCAGTAAAAATTGCCATATTTTAATATTAATATGTAAATATTAAATTTCTGACAATTTGGTTTAGATTTCGTTGAATACTAATACTAATCTAAAGTGTAGATTTTTCTAAAATTTGAGTTTCTGTAATTTATGAGGACTAACTATAATATGGGACATGCTGCAACAAAACCAGACATGAACATTCTTAAATAAGATGCTGGTGTTGCTGAAAGTTAACTAATTTGACTAATGATGTTTTGAAATAATAGTGCTCTTCATAACTTATTATTATGGACATGTTAATTTTAATGTTCACTTTATTATACAGTCAAACCTCGAAAAACCGATACTGCTCAAAACCGATAACTCGCAAAACCGATACTTTTTTCAATTCCCGTGCAA